AATACTGTCAGTTTACTGTTATATAAGTATTTTTACAACTTTATTAGGATTGTTACATCTTTTTTTTAAGATAGACTAATTTGAAATGTCAGTTGAATTGTTTATAACAGGGGCTCATCTATAATGCCGATGGGAGTATTTCTTCCTGTCACAGAACAGACTTTTTTGTCATGATAAAAAGCTTAAGGCTTTCAGACATTAATACAAATCTTGGGAGGCACATAGTCGGTTTATGTTTTATTTTAAAACGGCCTGGGGTGGTATATATAAGATTATAAAGTTTGGGGTTTATATTTTTCTATTTGTAGAGCAGCATTAATTCCTCATAACTGATCGCTAAGGGCAGAGGACGCTCCAAAGGTAAACTTTTCCTTCAGAAATAAAGACAAAAAAATAGGTCTTTATACCAAATGTGTAGAATAAATGATCTAAAAAAATATATATATATATATATATATATATATATTTTTTTTTTTTTTTTATTATTATTATTATTATTATGTGTATATGTATGTTTAAAAGAAGTCTGTGTAAGGGAAAAAAAACTGCTTTGATGACTTATCTGCTCCCTTACAGCTTTCCTAAGGTGCTATGATCAACTCTTGCATTTTACACAAAGCCGATTTTACTTCTGGGAAACGGGCTTGCAGCAATAAGGTTGAAGCAACAACATTACAGCAGTCCTCTCAGTTCACATGTCACCTTGTCAGACAGTCTGATAAAACTTGAGAGAAAGATTAGGCTAATTTAGGCAATTATATCACAAATTCCCTAAAATGTATCCATCCGTCACTTCTGATGTGCTGTGAGGAGGTGCTGATGAGTCAGCCTAAGGTAATACCGTCATTTGAACATAATGCAGCAAAGTGCCAGCAGGAACTAATTTGATCTCAAATGAACACGGCATTAAAAATAAGGAATTTAAAACCAATTTCTTACAACTGGTGAGAAAAAAAAGGCAGGGGTTTGCTTTCACAGTGGCTTTCAGCTCATCTGCATGATTGGCTCGGGTGTTTATCATTTTCTTTTTGACAGTCGGGCAAGGATTACTAGTGGAGTTTATGTCAGGAGAGTTTTATAGCTAATCAAGAACAGTGAAAGCATGGCCATAAAAGCCAGAGATTGGTACTTTAGGTGTTGGCAGGTGCAAGTCCAGCAGGAAACTGATACCATCATAAGAAGATGATGGTATCACTTGTCAGCAAAGGGAAGCATAAAGTGCCATTATTTTATTTTTTGATTGATGTGTTAACTTTGGACTTGATAAAACACAGAAAAAATCCAGACAAAGACTGTGGAGTTTAAAACATCACTGACTATGCAAACTCACTGGTCAAAAGGGCACAGAAGCACATGTAGTTGTGGAGCAGGCGTCCCAAAAGTCAGGGCTGCTGTCCTGCAGTTTTAAGAGGTTTCTCTGCTTTAGCACAGCCGATTCTGATTATTGCAGTTCAGCAGAAGCCTGTTAATCATGTTTCAGTTAAAAGCAGCTACTGTATGCTGGAGCAGGGAAACCTCTAAAACCTGCAGGACAGCAGCCCTCGAGGACTGACTTTGGGGATGCCTGGTGCGGAGGCTGCAGCATCGCAGACTGGATGAAAGTGAGAAGAGTGGTGAGAACAGCAGAAAGGATCCTTGGGGCTCCTCTTCCCTCCATTAAGGATATTTCATCCCATCGCTGCATGTCCAGAGCCCATAACATCATCAATGACCCCTCACACCCCCACCATGGACTGTTCTCCCTGCTGCCCTCTGGGAAGAGGCTTTGAAGCATCCGATGCAGGTCCAGTAGGTTCTGTAACAGCTTTTTTCCCTGCAGCCATCAGACAGCTGAATGTTGGACAAAAAACCAAATAGAACTCAACTCAATTTTTTTTTCTACTGACATTTTGCATTATATATGTTTTTGCTCTGAACTTCAACATCAATGCCTTTTGCACAGTGTTTTTTCTCCCACGCTGTGTACATTCGATCTCTGCAACACTTTATGAAATAGAAATATTCATTTCACTGCTACACTGCAAAAACTGTAAATCATTTTTCCTTAAAATAAGTGCATTTTATCCTGATTTGAGGAGGTAAATGACACTTTGCCAATGAAACAAGACAATTTACATTTGAAATAAGAAAAATCAATTGCATTGTCTTATTTCAAGTGCATATTATCTAATTTACTTATTTTAAGTGTAAAAATACTCATTCCATTGGCAAACTATCTTATTTACCTGCTCAAATTAAGGGTAAATACACTTGATTTAAGACATTTTTACTTAATTTCAGATCATTTTTGCAGTGTAAGCTGTGCCTCATTCACTGTCTGAAAGCTTTTAATTGAAAACTGGTTAACAGGTTTTGTGTTAAACTGTAATCATCATTATCAGCTGCGCTAAAGAAGGGAAACCTCTAGCGGCCCTCGAGGACCGACTTTTGGGATTCCTGTTCTATGCTGTTCACATTGTTCTATGTCTATGATATTTTGGGTCCTCTAGTGCAGCGGTTCCCAACCACCGAAAAAAAACACAGAAAAAAAAAATAATATATATATATATATAATTTATCGACAATCAGAGTCTGAGTGACGTTTTATTTTGAAAAAAAAAAAAAAAATGGGGTATTCTCTCCCAATTACCTGAATTAACCTTTGCCTCTTGACACAGCTTTTTATGCTGTTTGTATTTGATTTTATGACAGTCATATCATTTATTTGATCGTATTTACCCCCCACACATTAAATGCCGGTCTGTGTTGTCAGCGTCTGTCTGTCCGTGGTGCAAAAAAGGTTGGGGACCGCTGCTCTAGTGTGTTTTAATTGAATAAAACCTTTTTCCAGTTTATTATTACAACCAGGCAGCACTTTTTTTGCCTTAAAGTAGCTTTATAATACCCAAGGTGTTTTAAGAGAAAACTTTGAATTCTTATGATGAAATTAAGAATTTGAAGGATTTTTTTGGATGTCACTAGGACCCACATTTGTGAAAACGGGCCCAGGCAAGACACCACTTCTGGCTCCGACATGGCTGACCCAATGCAACAGCTGTGACCCACCAACTCAAGCTGCAGCTCATGCACAGCGAATCTCCTCGAAAGAATCCTGTTTCACTGTTAGCTGTTTTTTTTTTCCACCCACTGAGCTTCTTTACAGCTCTTTGAACAGCTTGGATTTTAAACAAAGCTGTGGCTCAACTTCCTACTCTTTATAGGGCAAGTTACCGTTTTTGATCACTTGCATACCACTTATAAATGGAGTCCCCCCACAGTGAGGTCTAAAAGCACAAAATCTATATCCAACCATTTAGCAAAGATAATGCTACATGGCTGTACATAATATTTTTGCATTTAACCAAATGGATGAGGCCTTCAATGATTTACTGTAAATTAAGTTGAAATAAAGTTAACTTAAGAAAAAATGTAAAAAGCCAAGTTAAAAAAGTAAAAAATTTTAGTGCCGGTATCAGCATTAAAACTCTATGGTTATGATGTAACAAAACAAAAAATTGACATTAGTTTTTGGCATCAAAATATACATAGTTTTTGAATGTTACAAAAGTAATAAGGTCTATTCCTGTCCTCCAATAACACTCTTGCTTGAAATTTTGATTTTCTAAGTATTTCAATGAGTGCCCTATAAAGGGTTAAAGGAATGTGCCCTTAAATGCAAAAAAAGCTTTTCTCTACTGGAAAGTTTCTAATCTATGGAGGACCAACTCTGCCAAATTTAAAAATAAATACAGAAATAAATAAATGCTCAATAAATATATAAGCATACAATTTATTGC